TATATATATATATTTAGGTGAGAAATTTTCTCGCTTTCATGATAATGATAGATAGATAGAATATGTGTGTGTGTGTAGGTCAAAATATGAATTTTGGTATACTTGAAAGTGGTGTCGTGTCCCACGAGAAAAGATTCCAATCAAGATTATAATGCTTTATAATTATCCCATTCAAAGTTAAAAGGAATCTACTTTATCCATTTTTAACCAAACAAACAAAAACACAACACACACACGTGGTTGCCATCCTTGAGAGTTAGGAAACCAAATTTATTCAAATACCAAACAAATAACAACTTCTTCATACTTCAATAACTTGGGGGTTGAGGTATCCGAATCAACTTCTTCTTGGGTTTAAAATTAGATAATTAACTATGAGTTATCCAACGAGCTTCATATTGATATACTTATCTTTGTCCTATTAATATCTAAACATTTCAATAAAATTGTATTAATACATATATCACTTTAGTTCCTCCAACTTTTCAAAATTAAAAAATACACCATATAAAATAATTAATTCTATTCTATGAAAATTTTCGGGACTTTACAAAGAACGAGAAGGATTGCAGCAGTTAGACACTCGATTGCTAAGTAAAGTAGACGTCTACTTTGTAGTTCAGCACCGAAAAGATTCAGTAAGGTCTCATTCATTCTTTTGCAAGCTCATTAAGTTGGTTTGCAAGTTTTAATTGGTACTGTCGATTCACGTACTCCGAAAAGCTCTACTATCTATCTGAATAATTTACTTGAGTTCTATTGCACTTGTTGAGCTCTATTTTTTCGGCTTCCCTAAAATTAAATGTCTTGAAGTTGGTAGATACCTAACCACTATTTCATTCAGAATGAGTCCTTGGGACCTCAAGACATTGGCTTTCCCCGCAGTGAACTATTAAGGATCGCATCCTGCATAGTTAATCCCATTCTGCTATGAGAAAGCATGAGAAATCGCACCCAAATACTTTGAAATGTGAAAGAGTGCTCACTTTTGTACAATACCTGATATGGTAATAGAAAACCAAGCTTTTTTCTTTTTGGATTAAACGACAATTCTAGTGTTGCGGTGCATTTGTTCCTTTGCTTGACAGCTACCCTTAATTTAACTACGCCTTCCATCAGTATGAGTAAATGGGTTTCCCAGCTCCCGATCTTTCTCATCTTCTCATTCTCATCATCAAAATGAATCTTCTATTTGTATAATAGGTCCGGAGGATAATTTCACTAGAAGATAGAGATTTTGTTCCTCTAAAGGAAAGAGAATTGTCTTCCCAATTAAACAGAGGGTTTGTTTCATCAGAAAATGATTTTGTTGAAGTGAAATTTCAAATTGGATCGACTAAAACAAGTATCCGAACTTGGTTGGCCTTTCTGTTAGGAAATTAGACCACTACTAATTTCGCCAGGATCAGTGGGACGCAAAATAATTTGAACTGAGAAGAAATAGATGTAGCAAAAATAATAAGTGCAAGTGACACAAGAATTTACGTGGTTCGGCATCGTGCCTACGTCCACAAACCCACACCAATTTTTTTACTGTATCAACAAGAGAATAAAAGGAATACAACAAATACACTCTCTGTATTTTATTTGCCTATGCAAAAACAATCTCTCAATTTTCTCTCGTTAATTTTCTACACAAACGAAAGCCTAACTGCTTCTCACTTTGTGTTTTGCTCACTATCTCTCGTGTTTTCACTCTACACGATTTTCTTGCACTTCTCTTTTGCTCTCGTTTTGGCACACTCCTTTCCTCCTACTTTGGCTCCAATTTATAGGAAAATTTTCACCTTCCTCATTAAATGCATATCCATCAATTTTCAATAAAATTGGCTCCCATAAATGCATGGCAAGAAATTTCTTCCAAAAAATTCGGCTGCATGGTTTTCATCTTTTCCATTCACATTCTATTTCAACATTTGCTGCCATGCTTTTGAGAAAATGTGTCTGCCACCATTGAAATTGTGAAGCCTAACATTTAGGCTCCATATTTTTCAACACTTTCACCCTAAACCATTCTTAGCTTCGTAGCCATAGAATTTCTTCTCATATGGTCGGGGGAGAATATGGTTAGCAACTGAGCTGGATCAAATGGACTAAAACCATACCTTGGAAGAAAGCCATATTGTTCAATTGAAGTTGAAGAAGCTTATTTCAGAACTTACTTTGTTCAGCCAAAGCCAATTTTATTACTTCATTTTGTACATCTCCTCGTTAAAGCAATGTGCTATAATGCCAATTACAAACGAAGGACCAATGATGATAAGCTACCTCGTTCGTGCTTCCATCTTTCTTGCTGCTATCTTCGATGGATGCCCCATTTCACTTAAAGGTGGATAGGGCACTGAGCCAACTTTTAGATTGAATAAAGTTACTAAGCTAGTCACGTGGCCTCCTCTTTCTTACCCGTTCATATTTGATTAGCCTCAGGTAATATAAAAGGGGATTAAAGTCAGTCCACATTTCTTATAAGATTCTTAAAACATGCATCCCCATCCATACAACAGAAGAGAAGTTCTCTAGGTCTTGCGAAGGGGGCTAGTCCAAGATCATATTGTTCCTCTACAAAGACAACAACAGATGCTCTCAACGGCTTGGGGCCTATCCCATTTAAGAGGGATGTAGCATAGGATAACCAATCTCAAGATTCCCTCTATTTATTTGTCATAAGATTATTTATTACCTACTATGAGAGGACATGGCACTGGCAAACCCTTATAATATTATAATTAAAAAAACTATAGAAGGTGAAGAGATTTTGAGGAAGACTTGCATTTTAAAGAAGGAAAATCAGGCACTGATAAGTTATATTCATCAAAGCAGATTTGTCAATTAATCACAAAATGTTATGGTTCTTGCATATAAATTCTTTGTTTCTTTGGAAGTAATTCCAGAGATCATGAACCTTTCTTTTCTAGTTATAAAGAAAAAATGTCGTGAATGATGTGACTTAGTGTAAGCAAGGTTCTTTCTATATCCAAGTTGGTTTTTTATAGTATATATTCTTTTTTATTATTATGTTATGTAATTTGGACTATTATAAGTATTTTCTACTCCTCGATTCCTTGATTCAGCCCTTTATCCTTGTTTATAGTCTTCTAATTGCGCTATATTTGGATTAAAGCATTTTTTGAATTGCTTATTAGATTAGGGATTCAAATCAAGAATCAGTTCAAGTAGAGAAGTGGCACCTTCCTTTGGTTCGTGCTTTTATAGGCCATTTCTTTGTCAATCTCGAATTCGAATCTTTGCTTATCCGTATGCCTTCTAGGATCACTTGCAGAGCTCGCCACGTTGAGTTTATTCCAATTTGTTAGGTTTGAAAATATAATTGGCAATTCTGTAAGACAAAAAGGGACTTAATTGTAAAAGTCAGGGACTCAATTGAACCTTGTTGTAAAAGTCAGGGACTTGCATTGCAATTTTGTATAGTTGGTTAGGTTAGGGTTTTACCATGGAACTAGGGTAAAGATGCACCGAAATTTCGCTTCCTGCTCGCCTTACCATCGTTTGAGCGTAAAAAACAGAAAAGCTCGCCGCTTGCTTTTCGCTCGACGTCGCTCGAGCGACAGTCTTATGCGAGAGACTCTAAGTTGCGTTTTTCGAGACTTTTTCACGGCCCAAAACTTCTATTTTTCCCCAACTATAAATATATAGGCTGTGAACGAAAAACATAAGGTTGCTACATTATTCTTTCATTGCAAAAGATATTCATAACATCTTTGAAGAGCTCCAAACTGCAATTAATTGGAGATTCCATCTACATCAATCTTGTGATTCGGTAACCATTGGTTTGGGAAAAACATCGAATCTACATAACCCAAAACACCTTGCTTCCTTAATCGATTGAGGAGGGACCCTCTCATTGGAGAATTGGGAGAGGTGGATTGATGCACAGTTACAAGCACAAGAATAGGCCGTTCATGGTGTTCCACTTGGTGATACAATCAGCTAAGGACCAGGAGGCTGTAGTGGACAACAAATTGAACTACAGGAGGTAGATCAGGAAGTCTAGCAGGAGGCTAGAAGTATCTACAACAGTAAATCTTGAAACTGGAACAGGGGGTCTGTTTGGATACGGAGTTTGGTATAATTTGTACTTACTGAATTGGTATAATGGAGTTAATTGGCTTGATCCTGAAGTTTTACCAACGTTGAGGTTTCTCCGTCATCATATTATTTGTTATTTACTGCTTTCCATAATATACAAACTACGACATTCCAACATAGGTTAATTAACTTGTATGATTAATCACCTAGACAACTAATTAATGTGACTTGTTATTTTAGTTAGATTAATTCCGTACGTAAGGTCAAATTGATTGAATTGTAATCTAGAACGTAAATTTGGTAATGCATAAAACTTGAATTTGACGTTGTAAAGTGTTCCTGGTGAATTTTCACAATTAACCCTTACTATAATCCATATGAACTTAAGGTCACAATTTAAGCGAGTGGGATGATCAGATGTTTAATGCAAGCACTTTGTACCAAGCCAATGGACCTTTTCTTTCTTTGTTGGTAAAATTGATCAATTGCGTTATGTTGTACGACTATTTGGCCTTTGCGTTGAGGGACCGGTCGATATAGTCGTAATGACTCACCAATGTATGTAAGTTAAGATTTTTTAAGAAGCATGCGTTTGACCATCTAAAAATTTA